AAGACCCGTCACACACCGAAGCGGCACCAACCTGCTGCGCTCCCCCGCCTACCCCCTCTTCTCTAGCCCCCCCGCCCGCCACGGCGGTGCCCCCAACGGCAGACAGATCCTGGCCGATCGTACTCGGGTCTGGCTCTGCCCTCGTTCCCGGAGAGGACGGTGGTGCTTGCTGCTGCTGCTTCTGCTGCTTCGGGGTGGAAGATGCTGCAGAGCCGGATGATGTTCCCGCTAGCCGGGTGGAGGAGGACGACGATGATGACACCGTGGGGCGAACGTACACCCAGTGGTCCGGGGAGGGTCCCCCAAGGGTGTGCCAGGCGACGACGAACGTGCACCTGTTTCGGTGTGCCACAACCCGGTACCGTGATCACGGACGAGGCCGGCAAAAAACATCGGGGGGGGGGGCGCAAGCGAAGGGGGGAAAGGGTTCTTGGGCGTCGTTTGTTCCTACCACTTCAACCGTTCTTGGCCAACCCATTTCTTTGTAAACAGGGAGATCAACGCCCTCATTTAGCGAACCAGGTGTTCCCAACCGCTGACAAGCAGCTCTATTCCATCACGGCAGCTGACCCGCCACAAGAAACCCGCAACCCTCACTCGCCTCAGCGTGGGGAGCTCGAACAGCGGGGGGAGCCCCGGAGCGGGAGGCGGCGACGCCTCAACTCCGAAACCCGTCGTCTCCAGCGCTACCCGCCCGGCGCCCGCCCACCCGACCCTCAGCACGACGCACGTCACCATCAGCGTCTTCCCCTTCTCCAACCCTTCAAGACCTTCCCCCCTGCTCCTCCTCCTCCTACTACCCTTGCCACCGGCATCGCCGGTTCCGCTGTCGCCGACCCCAAAGGCGGAGTTCTTTCCCCCTCCGCCGCCCATCCCTACGCCAACAGGCCCGCTGTGTCTCCGACCACCGCCGCTGATCCCCACGACCTCCGGAAACGGCGGCGACGACGACCGCATGCTGCCGAAACTGTCGCCCTCGTCGACACCTCCGCCGCCGCCGCCGCCGCCGCCGCTACCGCTGCCCCTCCGATCTCTCCGCCAAACCCCGCCACTCTTCCACGATAGTCGGTGCCCAGAGGAAGTCGGCAGCGAAGACGACCCCGGGCTCGCGTTACCGCTCCCGGGAACGGTTCCGGACTGGCCCGCAGGCCTGCCGCCGCCCGGTGCGGTAGTGGCTGGAGCTTTAGGGATATTACCGGCGGTAGCGGCGGCGGCGGCGGCGAGGGTTTCGCGGGATGGGAGGCGTGCCGATGGGGGCGTGCATTGGGCGTTTGCCACCAGCATGGCGACGGCTTTGGCATGGCAAGATGGTTGCGAAGAGAGAGAGAGAAAGAGAGAGAGAAAGAGAGAGAGAGAGAGAGAGAGAGAGAGAGAGAGAGAGAGAGAGAGAGAGAGCAAGGACAGAGAAAGAGGGACAAAGACAGAGAGAGTGAGAGATAGAGTGAGAGCGGTAGATTGAGAGAGACAGAAACAGAGACAAAGAAAGACAGACAGAAAGACGGAGACGGAGAGAAAAAAGTTGATCGAACGGGCATCCAAAGCACAGGAGAGGAGGTCTCAGAACAGAAAAAAAAAATGGGAGCCGGGGAAGGTGTAAGTTAAGTCGCCCTCCCGGAAACTTACGCTAGGTTAGGGAATACCTTAAACTTACTGCCTATGTCAACTCGAAAGAGGCGGCAACGCTCCATGAAATCCTTCGATTGGGGGATGAAAAGACTAAACCCCTCTGGCGACAAACAGCCCTCCCCCCCCCCCCGCCCTCCCCCGACAGAGACGCCTCTTTAACGCACCTCCGAAAACAGTGGCGTCGAATTTCCCGTGAACCATGCACCGCCCGGCGTCCCACCAAGCCAGGGGGGGCACCACGTCCCGCCCCGTCCCCGTCCCCCTGCTTCCAGGTGCCACCTGCAAGAATATTTCCCACGACGCAGGGATAGAGAGGGTTTCTAAATACGAAAGCCGTGTCTGTTGAAACCATCTCGTGCTGAAACGCTTTCTCAAGGGACGTACCTTGCGGGCCGGAGCTCACGCGCGATACTTGTACACCCTCGTTCGGACGATCGTGGCATACATAACAGCAGTCTTGCACTAGCTCAGCCTCTCACCCCACCGACCACGGGAGCGGCACAAGTACGGCAACAAGTATTCTACCTGCGGGAAGAGGTTGGGAGGAAGGAGAAGCGTTGCCGCGCTCGCCAGGTCGGCGAGAGCGTACGTGTGAGCGGGGCTGAACTCGAACCGCGGCCGTTCGACACACACCGACAGATCCAGGTACACCTGTTTCGTGTTTGACATGTTTGAGAGGGGGTAGGGATGGGAAAGTGCGGGCGGGAGTGGGGGCGGGTGGCGGTAGGTCAGTCTTTTCTGGGGGTTGCGTTCTGCGGAGCTGCGGAGACGAAAACTAGACGTCGAACGCGTCAGAACAGCGGGGAAGGGCGGGGCGTTCGTGTAAAGGGCGGGCTACGGGTATCACGTAATGTAGGTCTTCAAGAGTCGGTTTGTTAGAGAAGAGACATGGTGCCGAAGCTCCCAACCGTTGAGCCGATTGTGTCTGACTAACAAATACTTTTTTTAGAACCGCAAGGTTTCCAAAACAACCCTGAAATAATAAAAACAAAAAAACGCCCGGTCTGAAAGATTTTTCGCAAGTACCCAAAGATTCACACTCCTCTTTGACGCCGAACCAATCGCAACACCTATCTTTAACACAACAGCGGAGATCCCCGTCAAAAAAAGGTACCATTCCCTCGACTTCTGTCAAGGACGATTCCATCCCTTTACGAGAACCCCGCGCGCACGCACACGGTAGGTTGCATAAGACACCACACCCTCTGGACCAATTTTCAAAGCGTGATTCCTCCACGAGGAATAGTATGTCAAACTCGAATAATACGTATTCGGAAAAACTCTCCACGAGACGGTTCCAACGCCTCCCGCCATTTTCGGCACCGTTGCTGCTCTTCTACCAAGTAATCGAGGCTGAAAAATCGGTCCAGGGGGTGTGATATCTTATGCAAACTACGGTACTGCTGCACGCTCTCTGACGAGACCATTCGCACTTCCACACCATACCTTAGGAGGAAGGTCGCGCGTCACCACCGCCACCTTTCCCCTCCCGCCCCCCCCCGCCACTTCGCTCGGCGCCGCGTGCTGTCTCCCGCGGGTCGCCGCCGCCGCGGTAGCGTTGCCTGCTGCCGCTTCCCTCTCGTCGATGACCACGACCTTCACGCCCGTGAGGCTACCGCCGCTGTGGGGGGGCGCTCTGGCGCAAGCGACCATGGCAACGCCTCCGGCGGAAACCCGTTCGCACGAGAAGAGGGGCTGGTCGAACTGACGCAGGCTCGTCACAATGTTGGAGCACCTGCAAAAGAGAGGGTTTATTGTTGCCGCATGTTTCGGAGATACGTATATGTTAGGCGACTGCAGCGACTCCGCCAACAACATGCTAAAGGCGGCAGCACATCTATCTGCGGCCAAAGAAAAAACAGTCTAGAGAGCTCAGCACAGCCACGATTTGCCGCCGCGCCGGGAACCAGAATCCTGGCATATGTCAGTTAGGTGTGTCTGGCCATGCCTTGTGAGTAGTGACGGCTGGTGATGGTAATAAGACAACATCACTTGAGAGGCTTGAGTGCTGCAGCTGGTGCTGTTGGTTGCTAGCTTCCACGAAAAAAAAAAACGCGCCTCGACCCCCCTGCACAGCATCCCGTATGTAGCATTGACAGACGAACGGCGCATTCGCGCGGGGGAGTCCGGAGTAGGTGGAAGTACCCCCCCCCCAAAAAAAAAAAAAAAAAACATGGTTGGCAAAAACTTGGTATCCCACTCCACGTTTCCGCCATCGCGCACCTGACCGAAAAGCCGAGTCTCGCGAGGACCCCGAAGCCGGTGCCGACGGGAGGAGGGTGTCGGTCCAGCCGATCCTTCCAACACGACAACCACCAATCAAGAGAGGCAACGGAGCAAGATACACACAGACGGAGCGAAAACAAGAGAGAGAGAAGTGCGAGCCAACGATGACAGTCAAGACAGGAGCAAGCTACACAACACGCAGGGGGTATACGAGAAAGAGAGAGAGCGAGAGACGGGCGAGGGACTGGTGGCGATCAAAGGGGGAACGAGATACACCCGACGCAGGGGGTATACGAGAAAGAGAGAGAAGGGCGAGCGACTAATCGAAGAACGCAGACACCAAAGGTTTTCAGCGCTGCTCCTGAAAACAAAAGAAAAAACGCTACCTGGGTGTGCCATACGTTGTTGTTTGGTGCTTGCGTCCTCGTCTATTCTGGGCGCCAGTCGGCACGTACCGGTACCGAGGTGGCCTACCATCCATACTACGATCATGTCCAACTAACGAGTTCTCGACCCTCCTACCCTCCTCTCTGTCTCTCTCTGTCTGCCTGTCTCCCCCCCCCCCTCTCCCTCTCCCTCTACCTCTCCCTCTCCCTCCCTCTCTG